CAAAACAGTTTTGATTTGCTTCAAGTAGAATACAACTGCAATTACACATTATTCTTCCACCCTCAGTTTTAGGTAGTCCTGCTCCCTCTTTCCTTTTCTTTCATCTTCCCACTGGAGAGATTACTCCCCTGTGGCAGCTGCACAGCTTCAAGCCTGGCGTGACTGTCCCACAGAATGGTTCTGTGAAATAAAGCATTTTAATCTTCAGTGTCACCCCAGTAAGTTCAGGGCTCAGATCTAGAGCACAGCCCACTGAATGAGCGCAATAACTTTCTGAGGGTGGAGGTGTGAACCTCTTAAATCAAATGTGCTGATAGTGGTGTGGGAATGTGAAACCACAGCCTAATGAATAACAGAGAGCAGCCTTCAGGCAGTAACACCAATTGGATGGTGGATAAGGTCAGTGGCATTAGTACTTAATGAATGTACATATTAAATATTTTACAAGTAAATCACTTTAGTAAATCACTTTACTGCTTACTGTAGTAGGAATTTTCCCATCTTCCGGTAAAATGATGTGTTTAGTTTTCTGTTGATTTTTAGGCAGAGTTATTCTACATGTAATTTTCTAAAGGGATTTGATACATGGGTGCAGAATCTGCATAGAGCCTTATGCTTGTCTCCACCTACAGAGCAGTTGCAGGTGTCAGAGTTGCTGTAATTAGTCCTTGGATCAGTACTATGCATCAGTAGGAGGGCTTGGTTGCAATGTGAGAAATCATTAGCCCTTCTTGTCAGGTGTTAAGGAGCTGGAGCTGTCCCACCCTCTGCATCTACTCAGTGTGTCACATGCTTAGCTGCTGAAAGCCATACAAGTGTATCCCGGGGTCCATATGCCAGCAACTGCTCCAGTAAACAAGAACTGCAGCTCACTCGTCCTGCAAGAAGCACTGTATAGTCTAGTGGTAAAGCCAGAAGAATAAATGTCACCTAGTCAGCCTGTTATTTATAACTTTATTGACCACATCTCATGCTATTTCATGGTAACAGCCCCCATAAAGAAGGTTTGGGGATAGGTTTCAGTGCAGGCTGTCTGCAGCTAGGCTGCAGTTGGAATGCAAAACACCAAACTACTTAAGTTTGGTTAACTATAACAGGTCAACTCCCTGGCAGAATCAGATTAAAATAAAAGCTTTGGCAGCAAGTCTTTCTTGCCTATAGTGCGTCCTTCCCCCTGCACTTGTTTTTGCAGCTGAACACCTCTGAGTTGTCTGCTGCACTGCAATAAATTTCCCTTGGACTCCTCTGGCTCTGGGAACAGCTCTTCTCTGACACTCTGGCAGTACAGGCACCTCCTGCTCCTCTTGGATACCTCCCAGGTTGCATGCCCCTTGTCTTTCCCTCTCACCTGCCTCATCCTGCTGCTGGCAGTTCAATGTGCCCTCTGCTCCCTGGGCAGCAGCAGCAATTCCCTCTTCCTGAAAGGTTTCGTCTGACAGGAGCACCCAAGACAAAGTAAGAAACCCACCTTTCTCCCTGCTGCCCAGTCACAGCCCTCTAACAAAACATTTTTCATACAACATACCTTAGTGTTGGTGTAGCAAACTATAAGCAAAGAGATGAGATCACTCTGCCGTCCATTACAGAAATTTAAGAGGTCTAAGCTGCACTGAGCATCATCTACTCCACTCAGAAAATTGAGTGGCAGGCACCATTGCTTACAGAGCTACAGCAAGTGCCAGGGTGCAGCTGGGTGAAAGGGGGCAGGAGACTGCCGGGCGGAGGAGCAGAGCAGGAAAGAGATGGTGCTGGGAGCAGAGGAGTTCACAAGGGGAGTTAATAACTCCACGTAACCTTTTCTCAATATAGCAGCAGTGCTCCTGATGTACAATAGTCAGCACAGGTTAGTAGAGACCTCTCGTTAGAAAGGGCAATGCTTCAGGTCTGAGCCAGGCTTTAACAAAATGGTTCCTCTTGCAGGTGAATGCTGCTGACAAGGCTGTTCTGTCAAGACACAGAGCCCAGTGGGCTGGTGCTGCTGTGCTCTGGTTTATGCCTCTGCCAGGAGGGCCCCACAATATTCACAGCCTCAGCTTCCCCCTGACTTCATGAGGAGCATGTCTGACCTCTCAGAATATCCATCTTTCCACAAGCATAGGAGCTGAGAGTAAAAGATAGAAATCCTGTCACATAATCCTCAAAAACTTGGCGGAGGCCTGGAGAAAAATTGAAAGTAAAATAAAGAACATAAGCAAAAACTCATCATAGGTATCCAGAAATAGAATTGAAGGGAGAGGATCATCAGTATGGCTAAGAAAAAGTTGGTCAAACTACAAGAGACAAGGAAGGCAGTTAGACAGATAAACAGCAGCTGCAGGAAGCTATGTGAGTTCTTTGAACCATTTCCCTGTGGTTCACAGTGAGAGGAGGGTAAAAATTTTTCTGGGAACTCCCTTCAGGTAACCAAAGCACAGGAGTGGCATGGAGCAAGCTCTGTGAGGAAGAGGTGTTGGAGCAAGTAGGGAGAGTTTATTAGCAGTCATTCCTCAGAGCTTGATCTTGTTCTTCTGAGAGATGAAACAAAAAAAGTAGCTGAACTACAGAAGTGCTGCTTATCAGGACAAGGCGTGTGAGCAATGTGTGTGTATGTTCTGACTCCTGTCTTTCTAAGGGGAATTTACAGAGTGCATTTCAACCCAAAGGAAAATCTTTAGTATAAAGTTATTAAAGGCAGGTTCATAGGTTGTACTGAGGCAGCTAAACAAACACAGAGAAGTTATGGATATGCTGTTATGGCTGCTAATAACAGTTCCTACAAATAATGGCATGTAGGATGCCAAGTTATCTTTAGTAGTCTAGAAAGCAAGGAAAATACCGGGGGATTTATTGCCATTATAAGTGTGTTCTCCTCCTGATAGTCATCTAAATCTACCTGAAAAAACACTGCTTCCCCCTTGGCCTCCTTATGGCATATCTAATGAGATATTTGTAGGAAAGGAAAATCTGTTGGTGATTATTTGTGCCATAGAGTGGGCAATTAATGAATGCTTTATAATTACCTTTGCCGAGACTATTACAAATGTTAGCGTTCTTGAAACTGTCACCCTTCCAAAAATAAATGCCAGGTACTCAATGTTTGTGGCTTCCCACTGCAGTGAGACACACAAGCTGGCTGTGTCCCTGGGAGGGACATCCTCACGGTGTCCCAGGCTGGCAGCTCCCTGCGCTGCCCACCCTTCCCTCCTGGAGGGCCAGAATCCTGCCAGGCTGTGCACAGCTCTTCCTTATCCAAAGGGAAAGGGATTTGGAGCCAGCCTGCTGAGTTTCTGTCCTTTTGTGCTTCCTGTCCCCTGTGAAAGAGGAGCCTGATGGAGCGCCGAGGGCTTCAGGTTGCTCCTATGCTAACCCAAAACCAGAGTGGCATCATGAAATCAAAGAAGTTAGAGTGCTGTAAGTGCAGTGAGAAGAAAGCCCTAAAACTGACCTTAATGAGTTTAGATTGGCTTGTTCCTAAGCATTCCTCGGTGGCTCTTTAGGATCAGATTGCTCTGGGCAAGCTAATAGTCACAGAAATTGCACAGAAATTCAAGAGCCTTGAAATTGAATGGAATAGCTGAGTTTAACAAACAAGGTACCTCTCTGTTTCTTAAGCCAGGTTTTGTGGGTGAGTTAATATAAACTAACATTCATCAATGTTCTTCGTCCAAACAATACATCCTTGTTTTTACCTCATTCCTGCCATTAGATCAGCCAGACAAGCAGCACTCTGCTGTGGTATAGAGCAGGCAGGCACGGCCTGAATCCTAGACAGTGAATTTCCATGGCTGACCACTTGTGCCTGACTCTTCTTAGCACAAAACCACACACTGTTAAAACAACTGTACTGTGTTAAACCGATTACCTCCACTATGCCGAGTTAAAACAATGAAACACTGAGAAACTTAGGATTTGTCACAAACAAGCTAAGCTTTGAAAGGTTATTTCTGCTACAAACTGTTTCCTGGTTTCTACTTAAAATGCTTTTTCCTCAGGCGATGTAATTCTACCAAGCAATCCTGCCCTTTCTCATTTGGCAAGAACTGGTTCCCTCAACTCCCACTCGCTCTGCTCTGTACAAAGCAAAAATTAACATTGTTTCACTGCCAGAGTAAGAAATATTTATCCTGGCATTTATTAACCAGGGAAGTCCTGCATGTTCAGATTTGCCATTTTTTGTAATACATGCTTCAATCTGTAACCAGACTTCTCCCACGCAGGTACTCCTCTGATATCAGAGGTCCAAACGGTGGCCTGATTACTGGTAGTAAACTGATAGTATGCAGAGGGGTTTGAAATGAGCTGTGTCTCAGTACAGAGCTGGGAGCTTTCACAGTCAGTGGTTCTGTCTGTTCCTTTCAGTTGTGTTACCAGACAAGAGACATTTCTAAACTCCTGACCTAAAACTTCCCACACATGCACTCCTTGGTCTGTAATCTGTAGATTATCAATTGATCTCCTGTGCTCCCACCAGCTCCAGATCATAACACTGCACTTTGATGTACTTGCAGGATTGCAGCCAAAATGAAGTTCAATGGCCACAGTAGCCCTTTTAAGTTAGGAACCACCCCAGTAGCAACATTAAACTACTACTGTGAGATTATGATGAAATGGGAGGATGAATTTGGGGGTTCATCTGTTTCTCTTCCTGTTTCAGTGCTGATATTCTCATGGTTAAGTAAAAAAGAAAGCAGATATAGCTGTCTCCATCACCTTTAGAGCTGATGCTTAGTGACATTTCTACCCTGTGGACCACTGAAGACTATTTCCAAGAGACCTAATAACAGGAAAAACCCCACCCCAAACCCACTGCCTATAAACTTAAATTCAGCTTTCGGGTTTCCAGATCTTTACCTTGTCCACAAAAAAGTTGTAATATTTTGATAGAGGTAAAGGACAGTAATGAGCCACCACAGGCTGTCACCATGAAAAACAGGAGAAGCATCAGTAATTTTTGACAATGGTGAGACCAGGGCCCTTCTGTTATTTAAATATGGCCTCTTTGCAATGTTTCCATCTTGCAGAGAAGTTGTTACTTTCAACCACTTCCTGGAAGAAGCAGCAGAAAAAGAAGTGCGGGGGAAAGCCAGGCTGCAGCACTTCATCGAGAACCTGTTGCAGCGCGTGGATCTGGCGGAGAGGCAGCTGGAGTATTACCAAAATCAGCAGATGGTGTGCCACCACACCGACGGCAGCGAGCACGTGGTAAGCCACCAAAGTCCTTCCCTGCCCTGAAACCCTTCTCCAGAGGGGAAGTACTGCAGTTTGAATATGGGTGGGCTCCGTGGGTCGGGCTGATTGCTACTCCAGGCAGATGTGCATATGTAAAGTGTTTCTTTAGGTGTGTTTTATTTAGGTTTTAAACCGGCACTTCCCATGAGTGAAAGGAGCAGAGAGCATAAGAGCAGCAATAGCCAAAGATGGCAAAGGGAGAGCAGAGAATAATGAAATATTTGACAAATATTTAGATTTTTTTCCAGGTTTGGCTACTGCTGCTGTTGCTTTTGCCACAAACACTCTTCTTTATGTCACTTAGTGACTTGGCAGATATTTTGGGATGTCTAAAGACTTTCAGGAAAAACATGGATCCCCATAGGTGACGTATCAGCCTGCTGGCAAATTGGCTTTAGTTACCTATCATGGGAGACATAGTAATGGTGAATGGATTCCCACAGACCTGTCCCCCATGGATTAGAAGCTAAAGCTGTCTGAACATTGCTTTTAAAAATGCATCATTTCTCTAAAAGCTCTCATTTTTAGTACTTGCACTCAGTATTTTTCCTACAATGCATTACATTTATATGGCAAGTTTTAGGCACAGGATTTCCAAAGAACATTTCATTTAAATGAATACCCCATGCTGCCTGTGCTAAGTAATTGCTCACCCTGGGATGTGAGAGGAAGGCATTTGATCATGCACAGCAATGAACAGGTACACAGTGGTGGAAAGGAAAGGTTCCCGTAGCCACTTGGAAGACAAAGAGCTTTAGGTAAGACCTGAATAAATATAGATGTGCTGAAGTCCAGTGCAGGACATCTCAAACAGTGTCTGTGAGAAGATTGAGTGGGACCATAAAGATGGTCCTCAATATTAAATCATCTCCCTTGCTCTTGATGTGTTTACTGGCATTCCTGGCTCAGCAGCATTGCTTGGGGAAGGCTCTAATTTTCAAGGCGGCTGTCCTGCTTTCTGAGTGACTTCAGCATTCCTCTAAGGTCATCCATCCAAATATTGGCCATCCTGACCTTCAGGAGGTAATTACAGAAAAGCACACTATGAGATGGCTTCAGACTCCATCCAAGACAGATGACAAGCAAAGTCAGGCTGGGCAAAAATCCGTCTGCAAAGTGTGGACAATACCAGGGACACAGGGAACATTTACAAGAACATAATCATTTTCAGATGCCAGATCTGACTTGCTTGGCTCAGTGACTTCATTAAATGATATTCAAAGGCTCAGTTTAGTAGCTCTGATGGGAGCTCAGTACAAAGAACCAATTTAGTAACTCAGGTCGATTTAAGCTGAACTGGCATTAAACACCTCCTTTCTGGACCCCCACCAAAAGAGGGACCAGACAAAGTGTTTTCACACTGTGAATCGAACTGTTGTAAAAAATGAAGTCATGCAAATTCGTGGTGGCACTGAGGCTGTGCGGTCCCTAGCTGGTCTCAGGATTTGGAGTGGGAAGGGAGAGAAATGTTACATCCTCTCCCTCCGCCCTTCAGTGCAGCTCTGGCAGAGCCAAGGGCTTGTAGCTGGAGTTTCCTAGGCACTTGTGTAAAGGAAATGTATCACTGCAAAATTAAAGGCTCTGAGAGAAAGTTAATTTAATACAGCTTATTCAGGCACTGTCCCTTATTAATTACCTCAAACACAATAATTACTTCTCACTGTATCCATGCTGTTTAATCTAATGTGAAAGATCCCTGTTCAGCCCACACTAGTTTGGCAATTTACTTTGATTATAGTTAGAATAAAAATAATGGGAAAAATCCAACCACTAACAACTCACATATTATTTTAAAAACATATTCATAAGGTGGAAGAGTAATACTCTGTAAAAGAGGATTTTTTTTAGTTTCTTCTGTGGATGTTCTTCTAGTTTTAACAGCAGGTGAGAATGGAAATATGATTTTAAAGACTGTGTATATTTTATCCTTGTACTTTAGTTACTTGATAATGTAATATTAATAACCTGGTTTTATTTTCATTGCAGTTTACAGACATTTCATTAAATAAGAAACCCAGATGCCTGTATGTATATCTCTTTTTTTTCCTTTTACTTAAATACACTAAGTTGACATGCTTACATTTCTGCTTTTGCATTTCACCTTATCCAAAAGCCTGATTCAGGCTGAGTTTGGATCAGGTTCTTTACCTGTGTATGATCTATATTTATGATCTATATAATAGAGGAGAAACAGATTTCTGCTAAATTAAAGCTAAAATCAGCTACTCTCTAAAGAAAATAAAGAAGACTAATTTTCTGTTAAACAAATTACTCCTTCCTGCTGACTGTAACAGCCTACTGCAGAGCTACAGGATTTGAATCTCTTTGGCAAACACAGACCCAGTTTCAGTTGAAAATATCTTTAACATTCTGTAGGTAGGAGAAAGACAGTTGTCATTTGCTAACTGACAGTAACAATGTAGACTTAAAAATCACGTGTAAGCAGACAAGTGTCCTGACAAAGCAGGGGCACTAACATCATCTCAGGTTACTCCAGCAGCTGTCCTGGGAGCAGCAGAACCAACTGGGGCTGGTTTCCCTGTCTTTGGGACTTGGTCATGAGTCCCAGCAGGTGGTTTGGAGCATCACATGTGCTGCTTGGCCAAGTGGCGGTCAGGCACTGCATCCTTCTTCAGGGCAGCCTTTCCTAGAGGGGACACGAGGTTGGCTCTTTTTCCCATTGCACCACAGCAGGTCTGAGACTTCATTCTCCTTAACACAACAGGTTAGGAATATGTTTGAGTTGAAGTTCAGACTTGCAGTCACGTGTATCAAGGAGCTGCTGCTTTCAATGAAAAAGCATTTCCCACATCTGGAGATGGCACTGTTGCATTTCATGTGCAATGACCTGCATCTTCATCCATCCATCAGTACCTTCTTAGCCTGACTGTGAATTAGGAGCAGACATCCATCTTCTCTCCCATAAACTTGTTCAATTTAAATACAGTTTGGCCCCTTTAGGCAGTCCCCTCTGACCATACTGACCTTGACCCTCTGGTTTTAATGGCATCATTCAGCGCAGCAGAGGAGTGCCTAACAGCACCTGCAATCACCTGCAATAATGCCTGCATGTGTTCTGGGAATAAATGATGAAACTTTTTCACTGCAACAACATCTGAGAAGAACAGAGTGCTGCATCTTTTTACAACAACTGTAATTGTAACAAACAGTGGGACTGTAACAAACAGTGCCCAAGAAGGAACTGGAGTGGCCAACACCTGTGTTGACACACAAGTCATTCCTAAGTCCCAGCAAGTGGTCAGAGCCCAGGCCTGCACCAGGCCAGCATGGCACAGTGCCTGCAAGCTCCAGCTTGGACCTGCACAGCATTTCACCCCCCAAAACTTCCCCTAGTGAATTATGGTTGGCAAAGCTGCCAACCAGGTAATACAACTGGTCCTCACTGCCTCCCATCAACAAACACAGAGGCTTTCGTGACACCCTTCTGGTCTTTTTAAAGAGCTGGAGAGGGTTTGTTCTGTACACACGTGAATAACCATAGCTTTTTCCAAAACTGGCTTTATCAAATGTGCTGCAATATCATTTAACTCCCAGAAGAAGTAATACTACAGATACATGGGTTTGAGAAATAACGAGCTATGGAAAATAGCCCCGTGGGATCCCTTAAGAGATCGACTTGTACATGAGAACATCTGTTCTTCACTTCAGTTGCAGGAGCTGGGCAGACATGAGCTGGTGCCTTATGTTCATAGTTCTGCTCTTACACTACATATATCTGCTGTAAAACATTTCAAAATTATGTTAAGAGGGACTGAAATGATTTTACTTAGCTAAACTGTGGAACTGCAGTTTCAATGTAAAATTTTAGAGCAGAGTGTGTGCTTCAGCCTTTGCACCACCAGGCACTGTGGTGTCACTCCACCTGAGCTCACCAATTCCTGCAAATCCTGCCAGGCTTGAACCATCACAGAGAGTAAAAAGAATTCATCTTACTTTAGCCTTTAAGCTTTCACACCCTTCTTCCCACCAATTTTCTTTATTCCCCTTTCCTCTTCTCCTATTTCAAATCAAAGCTGAAGTTTCCCTTTAGATGTGTGGTCAGCACAAAAGCAGAGTGTGGAGTTTCCTGTGGCACTGACCGTTAGTAGCAGCAGCAGCTCCCTGGAAGAGCTCCAAGGCAGCACTGAGATCCCACCAAGAAATTCCTACAGTTCCTCCACCTGCTTTCTACTGTAACAGGTGCTGTGTGGTCTTCCAGAGACCATGGGATGTTCATTCTTTGCAGAAGGTTGCTGTGAACATGTGCATCTTTAAAATCCCTGCTGGTCACAAAGTACAGACCTCAGTAAGGTCTCAGCACTCCAAAATCAGCAGAATGCTGATCGGGGTAAAAGTTAGATGAACATGCATAAAGAGTCCACCAGTTACACATGTGGGGATTATTTTAGTGAGGAAGGCTTTTGAGCACTGAGAAATGTGATTTATCTTGCAACTCTGTTTTTTACATGCATCCTGGTTCTGTAAAACAAGGCTATTTCTGTCTTCAAAACTGTTTGGGTTTGGGGTATTTCGGGGACCTATCACTTTGCAAGATTGAATAATAGTTATTAATGATCGCTATTATTAATTTCAGGAGCCGAGGAAGTCAACATGCTTCATATAACATCCCTGATGCAAAGCCTCATTCCTTTCAAAAAGGAAGAATCTTGTTGAAAAAAGCAAAGGATGAAAAAACCAGCTTGCAGCCAGTAAAATGCTTCTATGAACCTGTGGATTGCCCAAGAGAGATATGGAGAGCACAAAAGAAGGGTGAACCAGTCTGCTCTGCCAGGAAAGTGAGCTCAAAATCAAAGATGGGTAAAAAGGCCAAGCCGCTACAGGAGCGGTGAGCAATACACAGTGATGCAGGAACTTGGCTTCGACACAACAAATATTGAACGAAGTTAGTCATCCCACTTTTTCCTATCCATCTGGCCATGCCAAAACATATCAGATATAATATATAGAAATATATACATATGGAAGATTTATATTATTTAGTAACGCCATTCCCTCTTTGGGCGCTGTAAGAGAAGTGACATTTTATTCAATTTACTTGGAGGTTTTTCTATTTATTCATGTATTTATTTATTTATTCAGTCATTTATAGAACTTATTTTAAATGACTGCAGTTATCTTGCTGGGCAGTACTGTGGCTGTACGTTTAATTATTTTACTGGCAGCATGTGGCCTGGTAATTTATTTTCCATCTGTGTTGTTGCCGAAGTTCAGAAGAATCCATTTAATCGGCACCTAAATATCCAATCTTTCAGCTTAGGTAGGTGTAAGATCAATGACTAACTGTTACCTGCACAGACATACTTAGATGCAAAAAGTCTAATGGAGTTGCCTGAAGGCTGTTTACAGCAGTAGATTGCTACCCTGGATTTCCTGCTATAGGCCCAGTCAAACACATTTCCATGTTTTATTGGGTACATTAAACCACTCAATCTTGCCAGCAGCCACATTGCCCTGTTGGTACAAGTTTGGGCTCCTCTGGTGTCACTTAACAAGGAAACCAGAAGCTGGTACTGCAGCTCTGACAAGCACGGACTGAATTGAGCCTGGAGGAGGAATTTCAGTGCCAAGTGCCAGTGGCAGGTTTTCAGCTGTGGCACAGAGAGTGAGGGGCTAAAGCAACATGTTACTGCATGGCACTGTGCTCAGTGCCTGTGCTTGTTTTTAGGCATGAGAGGCCTAAATAGCCACCATCATAACCCAGATCCTTCACATTTTTATCCCTGAAGAATCTTTACAGGACTGAGAGATCCCTGAATTTCAACTAAATGCCCAAGTGCAAGGAAGTTAGAGGTGATAGCGGAATAGAAATGCACATGTTTACATTGGTTTGTGCCAATTAAAAGGATCCTTATTTATCAGAGTATTTATTTATCAAGATGATTTTTTGCGTGTACAGTTTTTGGTAACATGAATCCTTATGCCATGTTTACAGATATGAACATCCTGATGATGTTACTGATGAGATTTGTTTTCTCAAGAAAAAGAAAGGATAGGCGAGACAAGTCTGTGTGATTTATTTTTTAAATGCTCATAACAGATGTAAATTGTTTATGTGGAAGGTGATTTTTACAGTATGTGTACAAAGATTTGTGAAAAATGTTTTTCATTTTTTATAACTATGTCTGTAAGCAGAACTGAGTATTAAAAGACAGTGTATCACTATGATTACTGCTGCAATAAGCACGTGAGTTGCAATATTTTTAAAGCAGAAGATGACTGATCAGTCAGCTATGATCAGGTAACTACAGATGTCATACATTTGTCAGTGTACAGACCTCCCAGAAAGTAGCAGAGTGAAGAAAGAGAGTTTTATTCCTCACTTTTATTTTAAATAGTATATATAGAACAATCAGATATATGTTTAAAGTTTCTCAACACTGTTTCAGTAGAAAGTCACAGTGTAAAACCGATTCAGGTATTTAGCTTGTAATGATATTTTAATATTTATTTAATTACGTCACAAGGCCACACTTGGCCTTATGCTCGACATTGTGTGTGGTGAAAAGGAGTTGTTCGTTGTGTTGCATGGGCTTGGGTCAGATTGTGTGTTACAACAACTTTTATAGGCAAACTACAAAATAGAAGCATCCTTGAGTTTTTTCTGTTGCTTCCCACATCCTTTTACAAACCTGAAAAAATTACCTTTATTGAAGGTAATAAAGGTAAACTTTAGAAAGATAATAAATTAAAATATATTAATCTGTTTCTTTATCCACTTGACACTGAAAGAATATTTTTATTTTTAAATGCCTATCTACTCTATTAGTCACCAAAGTTAAGTGCAACTACTAGTTCACAAATGAGATGTTTATTTTATTATTTATTACACCAAAATCTTGACTGTAAGTTGTCCTTTTGGGGGAGGAAAAGAGTAAAAGAAGGTGCATGTTCTTAAACTTCTCAAAACCTAATTTACAGTTACTTGCTGAAATATGCCAGGTTAGTTAATTAGGAAGAAATTGGATTGTACTGTAACCCCAGATAAAAATTTCTAGAATATAAACATTCTAATAATAAAGATATATTTCTCAATTATTGTGTCATTTAACTCTGTAAAATACAGTGTTTCTTATAAAAGCTTATGAAACAGAGAAAAAGACGAGGCAGCAGCTCGGACTTGGGTTTATCCCTCAGGTAAGGTAGGTCAGTGAAGTCGGGCTGTGACCTTTCACAGCAATACAAATCAACCTGAAAGAGCTACTGTATCTCACCCACGTGGCTCACACGTGTCACCTGCTGCTCTCCTACTGTCCTGATGCTTGAAAGTCATTCCTGAGATGACACACAGGGTCAGACAACCTGCCCGAAGCAGAGGCGGGGGGAGTGGAGGGAAGGGTCAGGCAAAGGAAATTAGGAGCAGAGGGGCTCCCAGGGAATGTCAGGGATAGTGGCTCCCTCACACACTGCTGGTTGCTGAGTCATCATTTCATCAAGTATCTCCCTGGTTAGACTTGGAAAGAGAGGTTTTCCTGTGGGGGAACCAGGCTCCTGTCAAGATGGTAATCCTTGGGAGAGATGCTGTAGAAGACTTCATGAGGAGACAAAGTCCCTCTGGCACCTGAGAGCTTGAATAGTGTTTATCAAGAAAAAAGGCTCCTTCCCACTCATGTTTACGCAACTTACTAGCTCATTTTTAAAGTTATACTCGCATCAAAGTGAATTTCACTAGGACCTGGCTACCTCATTCCCATATTAATTTTTAAAATCCCACCTCATCTATAACTAAAAATATCTCAGAGCAGTAAGTGTACTGGCTGGGCCCTTACAGGTGAGCTTTCTGCTTAAAATGTTCTGACCGATGTGATATTATAGGCCAGGAAAACAAGGGACTAATTGAAACCCAGACCTTTAATTAGAGATATACATAGAAAAAACAATCACTTTGAGATGCTCTTTCCAATTCAAGAAAGAGCATGTTTTTAAAGCACTGAATGACATCTGATCGCTTTCCCCCACCTCAGAAGTAAAAACAGCCTCCCCCCTACCCAGAGGAGATCTGAACACATTTGTTTTGTTTCAAGGAGAGTTACTGCAAATATTCAATGGGATATTCATATTCAAAGGGATGGCCACTAATTAGAGCAGTTCCTAGGTCAAACAAATTATCAATTCCATCATCCCTAATAATCCTTCCAATGCCACTGGCTCATTCAATCTACTTGAGCAAAATCCAGCTCTTCTCTCTTTATTCTGCGTCATCAGATAGTTGCCTCTATTTGTTCTTACCTCAGACTAACGCTGATTGTTTCCATACATCCTGTCTGAAGTGGCTGGAGTGGACTATTTTAGTGCTCTCTGCAGTGGGCATGGGCATTATTTTTTATTGTTTTTTTAGAAAAAATAATCCCAGAAGTGATTTTATTACATGAAACATACATCAAGCTCTTAAAAATAGATCCTGTTGCAACGCAAACAAAATGTCCTTTCCCATTTTGTTGCTAATGCCACCCTCTACCTAGCCACGCTTTTTTTATTCTGGTCTCTTGAATTTTCATTTGTACATCTCTCCAGGGAGAGGGAGGAACAAGCAACGTAAGTTAAATGTAGTCATTGGTTTGACAAGCCTTTCCCCTCTCACTGTCTCGGTCCTAGCGTCTCACACTGCAGGCAGGTAGAAGTTGGCTTGAATTTTTCATAAAATCATGGAAAAAATACAACAGATTTTGAGTTCATTATGTTATAGAAGAGGAAGGGACTCTTCTCTGAGAGGGGAAAGGAAATAGGAGGAGAGATACTCCCCTTCCTTGAGAAATCACTTTCCAAGATAAATGTGACAGGTCGGAAGAATTTACTGTGTGCTGGTGTGAGATGACGGAAAGTCAGAGTCACAAGTCAGCAGTAAAAGGTCGGGGGACTCATTACTGCCGGCTGTTCCTTTGGGGCTTTGACCTACAAAACATCAGCACAGATGGCCTGACATGTTCAAACCTTAAATCACACTTTAGACACATCTTTTGCAGCCTAATCACTAATTTCAGAGTAATAGACTTTAGCGTGAGGGTTTCTAAGAAATTCCCTGAACTCTGTCCGCAGCGTTTGTTCAAACCACAGAGTATTTGCCTTACAGTGGGAGCCTGTGCTCAGGGTCCTGTCAGCAGGGGGGTGTAGCACTTGCTCTCTTCTCTCTGTGCCCAGTGTCCGGCAGCAGCCGGCCAGGTCAGGCAGTTCTGCCTGGACTCTGCCCCACTGACCATCAGCTGGTTCCCATGGCAACACTTTCCTTCACATTATTTTGCTGATTTTTTGTCTGCTTCCCAAGCTCCCTCCTGCCTTCTGCCAACTCAGTGCCTTCAACATGAGAGAAGTCTCATGCAGCAAATGCCTTTCCTGGACCTCAACCTGCTAGTAAGTCCTTGCATCGCACCAGAGGCACTTGCAAAATGCTTTCTTTGGCAGGCTGGGGACAACTGCTGCACTGAGGTGGCAGATTCCCACTTGTTCTGCCGGCTTTACACTGCCCGGGTGACAGTCCTGCCTGCTGCCATTCATGCTGCTCGTGCCTGTTTGCAAATACACAGTGGGCCAACCAAAGGTCAGAGGTGTGTGTTTCGGAGAGGACATTGCAGCCCATCACCCCTCAGCCACAGAAAGACCGTAACCTTGGCCGAGTGCCCTGCACTTCCAGAAGTATTTTCCCAAAAATGTTATACATATGGTACTTGCCCTTCACTGAAATACAGCTCGGGCAGGTGTCACAGACCTCTGCTCCTAAAGGGATTTCTGATCTCCCACCAGCCAGCACTGTTGGTGGTAAGAGAGGGGAGGCTGAACATTGGCCAAAAAACAACACACGTACGTGCTACACAGACTACAGCCCAGGTGTGCACATGAGGACAGGGTCAAGAAAACAGCTGAAACAAGGTTTGTTTTGTTCTGATTTTACTCTTCATTAAGATCATATCACTGTTAGATAGAAACACCAAAAGAAACTTCAAAATAAAACTACCAACAAGCTAGTCCAGGAATTGTATATACACCTTTCACTGAAAATCACTTTTGGCATCACAGGACATATTCATCTATAGCAAATTTCTGGGAAATTTTCCCCCTTGCAGAAAATAGTAGGCTCAGAAGATACTTTTAATTTTTTTTTCTCATAGGGGAAAAATTAGAAAAAGCAGGCAGAAAACCTGGAAAGTTTTATCATGAACCAGTATCACCCCAAATCCACAAGGCTTATGCTAAGAAACTTGGCCACCAGTGAGACTATAATTGTTTCTATGTCAACCTACTTGGCCTACCAATCCTTCTGAGGTCGAGGCTATAGAGGTGACCTCCTAAATATGACGTGGTTTAATTATCCCACCCTCTAAGGCTTTGTGCATGCACCTGCTTAAGAGGAGCACATGAAAGTCACTGGTTTTGCAGGCTGCTAGGGTATGCCATAGTGTTTGTTCCAAGTTCGGGCCACCCCCAGGCAGAAGGAACCAAGGGATTGATCAGGCATCACGAAAAGCCTGGCAATGGCAGATGGAACAAGTTGGATTTATAGGAGCTGAACCCATTTTTGTGACAAGAGCCATGGCTCTCCTTCTCCTCGTGCTCCTGTGGCTGCCAGCATGGCCATGCACTTCCCATGTCTGCCTGGGCTCCCCCACGGACCCTACAAAGATTTGGGGTAATGGGAGGCAGGGGGAGAGGTTGAAAAACTCTAATGCACACAGCAGCTTTGAAAACAGGCTTTAAAGGCACAGAAGGACCTTCTCAAAGGGCAGTTTGCATGCACACACAAGCTCATCCTGCCCTTGTCTGATCCCCCAGAGACAGAGGAGTATTTCAGCCACTAGTTCAGGGATGGGGGAGAGGGAGCCTGCTCTGTCAGCAAACACCTTGCCAACACACTTCTTGAGGGCAGCAAGCATTTTATGTATTAGGAAATCATGAAATTAAAAAGATAATCACAACTAAATGAAGGAACCCTAACTCCACTGTCAGTTAATTTAAGTGCCACAGTGAGTACATTGAACTATTGGTGACAAGTTTTATTGTAGTCTCTATCTAAAGAAAGTGGTGTTACCAGGCACGACCTGGATTTCACCCATAGACTCCCCTCTGAGGGAGCAGCTGAGGGCAACAAGCAGAAGGCAAAAGCCTGGGTCCAAGTGAACCAGGAGGAACATTTGCCAGGGGGACAGGCATAAGTTTAAGATTCCAGAAGTGTGGGTGGGAAGAATGAAAAGGAAAACGTAACAGAGGCAATTGAAACTGGTTGACATGGCCTATGCTAAAGAAGGGACCAGGACAGCAATATAGTTTCTATTCCCATCTATTCTTTTAGTGGACTTCAGTAGTTTCTTAGTTTTGCTAACCATTTCTTAACAAGGAAATGAAGGTGCCCTTCCTACATCAACACCATTTAGTATTGCCACCCTTGTTCTCTGGGGTACACCACTAAAGGACTTAGAAGAACCAAATTATCTTTTATTTTAGGGACAGGGGCTTCTATTCCTTTTGATATAAGTAGATGAAAACATACACCACAGATGCCTATCTCCTTGGATTTGAGGACTGGTGCCCTACTACATGTGAGTCTGGGTGGTGTAAAAGGTCTGTTCACTTCCTGGGCAAAAGCTAAACCACTTCCATTTTATCTGTGTACACAGTCGAGGTGTCTAGGAGACAACACGTATGTGGCTCAAACTGCCACAATGAGTCGGGATATCAGTTCGCATGAGGCAGAAGTGTTTCCTTGTGGGAAACGAAATTTTACGTTGTTAAAAAAGCCGACGTGAGTCCGTGATCAGCCCAGCAAATGTGTACCCTATTTGAAAATTCGGGGGGGGGGGGGGGGGGTGGGG